AAACGTATTGAAGACATAGATCCGTAGGGTCTTCTGAATGCGCGAAGGATTCTTTAAAGACTCTTGAATATCATTTTTCTTTCTTGCCAGAGCAGCATCTATCCGACCCTCAACTTCGAGCAGTCGGGTATAGATGGCAGATTCTGGCAGAAGAGCAGCAACTTTATCGGGTATTTGTTTCTCAGGAAGCTTAGCCTTCTTTCTTCTAGCAGCTGGAGTTAACTCCATGGTTTTAAAAGGTGAACTGGCGCTACTGTTAGAAGATCCTGGAGGCCTAGAAGGTGGCTTCTGAGTAGGCCTCTTAGAACTCCCTGTCCCAGGTGTTGACACAGAGGGTGTTATAGTAACATTACTAGCCTTAGCACTATGCAGCTGAACAGGTTGAGTATGAGCTTGAAACTGTGCATGAGCAGATTGAGCTTGTGCCTGTGCATGAGCCTGCGTATACTGTACCTGAGACATTATACGCGACTGCGGCTCGGACAACTGAAAATGACCTGAAAAATGCGTCCCGCCGTGCATTTGAGACTGTGACTGAGAATGATGATTCATTGGCCTTGCTTGCTGAACCATGCCTGAATTCCCAAAATGAGAGGCTGCCCCAATATTCCTCCCCAAATTGTTACTACTAGGGCTGTTATTCACCGGCATAGTTCCCCCAATATTCCTCACCACACTGTTACTATTAGCATTGTTGTTGTTATTCACAGACATCGCTAACTGATACAGCCAAAATCCTTGAGTGTGTGGGGGTATGTGGATCAAATTACTCCATTCAAAACCACGACCCAGCAACAGAGTCTCGAACTCAAATTCACCACCCAGAAATTAAACTCATTGAGACAGCACTCGAAGAGAAAATTTCCTCACAAGAAATTCAAACTCGCCTCACTATTTACAGCAGCAAAAAATTCAACGAATCCAAAACCACGAAAATACTCGGATGAAATCTATAGTGCTTCGTCCCCCACTTTCCCGTTCAAGAATTTCAAGTCCTAAATTTCGAAGCGGGCTTCAGTCACGGATAATGAGCTAGTATGAACTTTAGAACTAGTATGCTACAGAAGGATTTGAAGTACCAATTTCTTCCGAAACCGTTTATGAGAAATTTAAGGCAACATTTAGCATAAACAGATGAAAAATTACATAGGAAAAGGAAGACCTGAAAAAAAATTCTAACCGGTAGTTTCTCCCGTTGCTTTTGCTAACTGATTTCTCTGTCCGTGCTGTGAATCCGGCAATGAGGAGGTCCTCTCCTTTCCAACTCTCTTCATTCCGCCATTAAATCTACGACGGATCTATTCGATGCGAACGAAGTTACGTAAATACCCCTAATCTTCGAATGCGTGCAAAGGCTTGGAACCAGGGATGAAAAAGAAAAAATCGATTGAACCTGTGAACTCAACTAACCGAACCGGCCAGTTTGATTCGGTTATTTTAAAATTAGGTTCTCGGAGATGGGGGAATCAATTTGGTTTTGTTTTAATAAAAAACCAAACCAAACCGTTCTTATTTCTTATTCCCAACAAAAATACCCATTTCCTTGTTTCATCCAACCGGACTCTTTAAAAATGGAAAACCGGACCGATGTTGACGGACCGTAGAAGGCCATAGAAAAAGCCCACCCAACCCATAATAGTGAAGGTGTTTTTTTGGTAAACCACAAATCCTTGAAGGCTTGAACCCCTCGATAGGGTTTAGTGTTCTTGCTGGAAGATCAAGATCAACAACGCCGGTTAGTCTTATTTCTTCTTCTTCTTCTTCTTTTTGCTTCTCAGAAACACAGGCTTGAACCTCTCCGCCACTTATTTTTAAAATTTTCAAGGTTTTTTACTTCTTGGTTTATGAAAAATTAAGCTTGATTGAATGGCATTGAGTCTTCTTGAATATAGAAGAAACCATCAATGGCTATGAAGTCGCATAGGGAGAGGCATTTGCATATGAACACATGAGCGAGTGTAGGAGTTCGAGATTTTATTTTTTTTCAAAAACAATAAAGATTTCAAATCACAACTGGAATGATTTGACACCATTCCGAATTCACAGCTACCGATGGAAGAATTGTCTTATTATTTGTCATCAAATTGTATCTCCTTTTATGTGTTTGTGATATGTACCAGCGTGCAAGGCCAAGGGATCTGATCTGATGTGATCTGATCACCGTGCCACTTTCAGGTATGGCTTTTGTTGCTATATCAGTTCTTGTCGTTCATATCTCTAGTTTCAAAATGTGCATAGTGGTCTGAAATTTGTTGCAGTTAATTGAATTATTTCATTTTATCAGAAGACGTTGTTGAATGAAGGATCTCTTTTTAATGTTGAAACGGAGTTCAATGGAGGTGGAGCTAGTGGTTCTTCCTTCTACTGAACCTGGTCTTGAACCACTTCACTTTCTCAAACTTAAGGATGGTCTATTTTATTGGCTTTCAACTTATGGGTTAGAGTCGGGAACTCTCAGAAGATTCAGATGAAGAAGAAGAAGACATTGAAGCTCATGAAGAACAGGTACATAACTTCCTCTACGGCTTTGGCTTCTAATTCTAAATCGATTGATCTTTTTCCTGCATTTACTCATTGTAGTTTCTGATTTTGAATTGCATGCATAAGTCAGAAATAGAAACACAAACCTCAAATCAGGCTAACATACTTTTCATGAAACTTTGCTCCCAGTAGGATGCTGTAACAACTCACGCCACCGCTAGCAAATATTATCCTCTTTGGGTGCTTCGTTCTCCTCTCTAATCGAGGTAGGATCCCACAATCCTATCATTTATAACAGTCCAAACTCGTCGCTAATAGATATTGTCATCTTTGGACTTTCTATTTCGGACTTTCTCTCAAAATGTCTAGAATGTTATTATATATTGATGACCATCGTCAACCACAAAAAATTGCATGAACTAGCTTAAATGAACATGAGTTGAGTCTTGATTGGGCTAGACCACGAAGAACTACAAGTCAGATTTTGTTAATCAGACAGGGCAAGAACCAGAGAACTCAAGATATGAAGTTTAGAAATCTATAAGAAACTCGAATAAACTAAACAATTTTATACATTCCTTGAGATAGCCTACCAACAAAGATTACATGATATTTTGCTACAAGATTAAGGTTCAATTAGAGAGTCGACCTGAGTATATTTTAAAGTCATTTTTAGCATGACTACAAAATCTGATGCATAGCATATCATAACAAAATCTGATGCATAGCATATCATAACATCTTGATCAACATTTCTTCTTTAGGAGTCTATGAAATTGTCTTGAGATCGCTTTTTTCAATTTCCCTATCATTTAACTCCACTTCCCCCCTTTCACTTTGCAGAGTAAGTGTGGAATCTCCATGGTCAAAATCCTGTTAAGCAACCAATCTAGATGAATGAGACAAGAGATATAGAATCGATCGAACTTGGGGAGAACTGAAATTGAAGACGCTCAAAGTTTATAACGATGATGAGCCTTTGATGTCTCCAACTTTCGGTATACATTTCAATCTCATACTGAAATTTGTAACCGGCCAAAAATCTTATTTGAAGTTTATATTGGATAACTGAGATATCAATTATTTTTTTATATAATGGATATCTGTTTCAACATGTCAAGCCTAGTTCATATTACAGGGACATGGTGTGAATAATGTTGGGTTCTTATGACATGAAACTATAAACGATAGATATTATAAGATTAATCATAACTCATTGCATAAAGAAAAATATGTTATTCATATAATAACACGTGTGTATATGAACAGGAAATGCCCCATTCAAGAAATGAATGAATAAAAGAATCGATGTCCAAACAACTAAGAGACATAAAAGAATATGTGAACGAAATAATGTACATGTCAGTCAGGCCATCATGATCTGAAACTCCTCAAAGCTAATCAAACCGTCACCGTTCAAATCGAAGCGGCGAATCATCACTTTACACTCCGCCGTGGATTTCGTTTCCCCCAATTTTTTAAGCATTCTCTTCAAGCTTTTCGGAGTAATGAACCCGCAGCCTTCGGCATCGTACAATCCAAAAGCCTCTCTCAAGTCCTTCAATTTCTCTTCCTCGCCCACGTCCAGTAGCCGCTCGATATCACCGACGCAGAGCAGTCCGTCGCCGTCGGAGTCGAGCGATTCCACCGCCGCCTCTGCCTCCGCCGGCAGCAGCTCTCCGCCGATCAATCCGAGACGATTCCTCAGCTCCGACGGCGAGATTTTGCCGTCGCCATCTTCATCGAAGTAACGCAAGACGCGGTCGTAGTGTGCGGCACTGGTGATCTCCATTTCAAATCGAGATTCAAAAACTTGGAAAGGAATTGTGTAAGATTTTCTCCGAGTACTGGATTTTGGTAGGAATTGGGATTGGTGGTTGTATTTGTAGGGTTGGGCAGTGGCGGTTTGGAAGCAACGAGGAAGGGAGGGAGAAAAAAAGTTGATTCCAAGGGGGAAGGAAAAGGGAAATAAAGAAAGAAGACCGCCAAGGAATGAAAATGGGTAAGGAATCTATTCATATTTTGATTATGTGGAATTTTTTTTTTTTTTTAATTTTTAAATAACGGTCAACTGCCACGTACTAAACGCTCATTTTCTCCCCCACATATATAATAACATTTATTCAAACGCGTTTAGTCTTGTTGTGGACGAGGCTTATCTACTGCGGCCACCAAAGCCACGTGGTTAACCACACGTAGAAATTAAAAGAAAAGTCATTGTAAAATATTTTGATCTAAATTTTGTTGTGTTAAAAAAAATCCTAAATATTTACATAATAACACAAATCTATTTCTTCCCTGTTTCTACAATTCTATCCTTTTTTTTATAAAATGGAACATACCCATAAATAAATACGTGAATTATTCTTTTTTCATAAAACTTTATTTGCATTTTTCGTCAAAATTAATATGTTAACCTATTTAACATTTTATTAAAATAAAACTCCCAATTTTAAATTTAAATATAAAATTAGATGATAAATGAGAAAAAGCAAGTAAAATATTGGAAGGTCATGCCGTGCATCACGTGGAACCAGTGTTTAAAACGTTTATTCCTTCCCTCAATACATTTACACGTAACACGTGTCGCCTTCTCCACGAAGTAAACTACTCGTGGTAAACGACATTCAGGGCCAGGCCCAAAGAACGGCCCATTGAAGACCAAGCATAACAAAATTGGCATATAAATTTCCCTAAAATGTACGAGTTGTGGAGTTTCCATTTCGTTTGATTCACATGTTCGCCAGGTCCCAATACATTTTGCCCATTCCTCCGCTGCAGGAGCCAATGTTCATGTAAAAATGCCAAATGGGTCGTTTCTCCAGGCTGTATGGAATAAATATTACTAAGTTTTCTTCAAAATCCTCTTATTTTGATGCTACTGCCTCTGAATCAGACAATATGGCGTCCATTTCCTCCAAGTATGGCCAACTTTTCTTGATTGTCTTTTCACGTTTGCTATCCTGCTGTACAAAGAAAGTTATCGATACAATTTCTCTTACAGGAATAAGAATTGCAGAATTTATTGGATCCATCATGCATTGAGCTTAGGTAAGAAGGGGGCGTTTGGAAGAAGAAACAGAGAACGCACCTCATATTTCTGAACCAGAGATGCCCACATGGATTTGCACTGTCCTGGACTCCGATTCATTCCATCACCCAACATACATGTGGATATCTCTTCCCATAATGCCATTCGTCCCTTGGCAACTTGAAACCTGGCATGCAATTGGCCACGTAATTTTATAAGTCTCTTCATCTCCTCAGGTTTCCATTTATTGCTTTTAACAGGCTTCAAAGGCCTCAAAGGCTTCTCCGAAGAATTTGATGTTTTCAGTCCGTTTGAAATCTCCAGCGTATTTTTTGATGGTTGAACAGAACCCTCATTCTCCTTTACCAATTCATTAACAGGAGAGGATGGCGTGATAAACGGTGTCCAGAAATCTTCCATGTCCTCGGTATCGGAGGATTGTGTCTCTGTCAAGTTGGAGTTTGAGGAATTGTAGTCTTCTTCAGGAAGTAGGCTTCCAGGTTCAATATAATAACCTGGACCAACAAAAAGAGTAGGAAAAAAAAAAAACGCTCATTTAAAAAAACCACAGCTACGATCATAACCCCATGGACATGTCTAATAGTAATAACAAACAACTTAAAGTTGCAATCATCCACCTTTCCACGCAACTTAGTTTCTTCTGAATCAAATTGATCACCGTACCATGGACATGTCTCATACTACAACTCCTACGCTAGAAGCTTTTCAACTCAATACATTGCAAAGAAATATCGATCAAAGACAGGCTTAGTCACCTGTAAGCCTTGCATGTAAGGGTTTTAAATTTAGAAGTTCCTGACTTTCAGTAGTGTTTATAATAAGCCATAATAAGCCATAATAATCCTATTAAGAATGCATAAAATGTATGGTCTTGCAAGTAGGGTTTTGTTTTGAATTTGATTAGAACTTCTTAAGTTTCATTAGCTAACCTAAAGAAGATATCCCTACATCACCTATGACCTGCTATCTGGATTATGCCTGAAAACACGAATGACATGTTCCTAAAAGCAACGTGTTCCATTTATGCACGGATATGCAACGAATGATGCTGAAATATATAGCAAAAAAGAAACCTTGGGACTCCTGACTTGAGTTATCCTCAGAATGCAAATCGTCATTTCCATCTGGTCTTATGCCGTTTAAGTGGCACTTAGTTGGCTGTCCAACAACTGCTTTTCTCAGTGCTGACATCCCGAATCTAGTATCGGACTTCCCTGAAAGCCTTCTACCAAGCTGTTCGGATAGAACTCCTCCAGGGTTCTCCACAGCCAAGACTATGACTTCAGGCCTCTTACCACTGTATTTTCTAACCATCTTCTTCAAAAGTTCAGACACAGTTCTTTCCATGTGAGCTAGAGGACAATTTACGGGGCAACTTGAAAGTGCTGCATGAGCGGCTTTGTGAAGTGCATCTAAAAGCTTCCCCTTGTCGAGCCATAAGCATCGAGTAGTGATTCTTAGTTTTCCTTTGATGACAGTCTCATTTAAACCGTCTATACTTTGAGGTCGCAAGATTTCCATACTGCATATAGAAGAAACCAGAACATTAATACAAAGATGGAGGATGTACCCACTTCACTAAAGGTAAAATTTGCAAAATCTACCTGACCACTATTATGCCATCTGTTGCAATCTTTAGTCTCTCGTCAACAAAGAGCTCAGATGAGGATCCAAATGCTTTATCACCATCACTATACTTCAACTGCATCACAATAAAGAAATGAACAAAGGTTAACAGCATCATTATAGTGAAAAGAAAACTATCAAGGTTGTTGTACCTGTAAATTCTCCTTCCCGAGAGAGGTGAAACCATTGGATAAAACTCTTCTGTTTCTCAAATGAGATACTCCAAGCATTTCTCCATTTTTAATCACCTTCATATCAGAATGTGAAATTTCTTTAACTTTATACATACTCTCAGAAAAAGAGGTGTTAAATATGCCAGAAACGATTGAACTTATCGAATCAGAGGATTCTATAAACATACTACCGGGGAAGACTAGAATGATTTAGCGAACTTGAAAATTATTCACCAGAATCAAAACGAGGCTTTCAGAGAGAAGCCAACAAAGAAAATTCAAAACTAGAGTGAAAAGGAAAGGGGAGAATAGATCTCCCTGCCTAGTTCCCCATCTGGCCATAATTTGACCCTTTGGTTTTGTCAGTAAACTCAAGCTGCAAGTTTATTTTTAGTTGTTTTAAATCAGTCCAGGGTTCTTGTTTCTAGGGAAGTTGCTGTTATTTTTAGTCAGTTGTCATATTTGGAGTCAGTGGCGTAAGTTGCTACTTTTGTGGAGTCAGTGGGAAGTTGCTACTTTTGTGCACGAAGTCTTTTCAAGATATTTGTGGATAATCAAAGCGACTCTAGCTATTTCATTGAATCCAGTTACTTCATACAAGAACCAAGCTTTTTAGGATCAAGTATTATTGTTCTGAAAGACATGCGAAAGGAAGAAGAAGAGCAGCTGGTTTACTCTAACACAGATGTTAGTTGTTTTCTAGTGTTAGTTGTTTTCAAGCTCTTAGAAGCAAACTAGGTGTTTGCAGCATTTCAGTCCGGAGGAGAACCGAATCAAAATTTGGAATAACAAGCAGTAGATAGAAGCCTTCAATCCAACTCCTCCAACATTGGTTGAATGATTTAGCTTCAAGAATGATGTCGAAGAGACTCCAATCAACTTCATCAAGGAAGGAGAAGTGCAGCTGGTTCATTGTAGCTCAGATAAGAAAATAGCATATATTTTCAGTCTTTTAGTGTGTCATTTATAAACTCTTAGAAGCAAACTACGTGTTTGCAGCATTTGAGTTGGGAGGAGAATTGGTTCAAAATTACGGAATAATAAGCATTAGAGAGAAGACTTCAATTCAACCTCTCCAACATCGGCTGAACACTTTGGCTTCAAGATGACGTCAAAGAAACTCCAACCTCACCAAAGACCTTGTCAAGGTCTAACTTCACGAGTCAGGACTATACCCTTTTTCTTTTTGTTTTTTTTTTTCCCAAATGTTAATAATTTGATTATACATAAATCAAGAGTCAACAATTTGTTTTCCTCCATGAAGGGCAATGGAATTTGGTGACTGACAGGAAACCCTTTTTTCCCTTTTATGATCTTTCATCAAGGACTTCGGAGATACTGTAGGAGGAACAATTATTTTTAGTCCGTTGGCAAGGATATTGGTGATGATAGGTCCAGGGTAAACAGGTAAATCTAGAGAAATGTTATTGACCGGCCAATTTCTGCATAACATAACTTATCCTATCAAAAAGTATCACAATTGTGGATAGGAAAATACTCACAGTTGTGTGTCGGATGCCTGTCGACCGGCCCAGCAGCTCATGCTCCTTAAGGAATAAAAGCTCTCCATGAATGGGTAAAAAATGCTGCGGTTTAACAATTTGTAGTATTTCCTCCTTCAAACACAAAGAATCCCATTTTTCAAACATAAGAGACAGATGAAGGAACCAAGATGGATGAAATCAAACAGGTGCTAAGAAGAAAACTATTTTGAGGCAAAAATGGGGGAAGTTTGGGATGGATGACCATGACATAGACATGAAGGCTAATCGAATATCAAGCTTAAACCAATACCTAATAAGAAATTAGGTTCCAAAATATCAGGTAACGGAAAAAAAGGAAAAAGGTAAACAAAATCTAATCATCTATACCAAGACATTCCACAAATCTAAAGACATGTATGAGAGTGGTTTTGAAAGGGTCAAAATCACTTTCTTCGTGTTCAAAACTACTCTTATCCAAAACATATCTTTAATCATTCAAAATAAACTTAGTGTTTAAGTTAACACTTCTACACATAATTTTCCTTCCATGAGAATTGATTTTCAGAAATAAAAAAACTTCAAAGTGATTTTGAATACGAAAAAAGTGATTTTAATCCTTTCAAAATAATTTCCAAATATGCCTAAAGGCATACATCTACAAACCGAGATAGGAGGCAGGGGAATCTGTAGTTCAAAGCAAGAAGGCTGAGATAATCATAAGTCCAAAGTCCCAAAAGAGATTTAAAACTGACATATTCGGATGCAATTATAATGGAAACTAACCAATTCTCCACGATATGCATGACCAGATGTGTGCAGCAACTCATTCTTGCCCATGATTATATTTGATCCAATCTCTGATATACGGTTCAACATTTTCATCACTCTAGATTCATTACCAGGAATAACCTGTCGCATGAGAAGAGGGAAAAGAACTATTATACAATACATTGCCTGAAAAACATCAATGGCAGCCAGTAGACCTAAGGCTGATGTCAAATCGTTTAAGAACTTAGAAATGTAAGTTCAGCAGTTCAAAATTGTTCAAATAGGCCAACATAGAAGGTATTGTTCAAAAGAAGACGTTAGTAGTAACTTAATATATGATAAATAAATGAAACCATAGTAAAATATTGGCGAGATAATGATAGGAACCAGAAACATAGAATGAAATTTAAGAAATCTATGTTAATGGAGAATAGTCGATCACTTTTTGAGAGAGTACTCTCTCCCACAATTAATCTCAAGACTTGCCAAATCCCCTAATCACCCCCTACATATGGCAAACAAACTAGCTACCTCTATTAGCTAATAACGAAGATGACCAACATGAGGTGCCGTTTTTTTTGGAAAGATTAAAGAACTTTATTTTTATTATTATTTCTTTATAAGAAACGAGAGAAGAAAATTAAAGTGGAGGGAACAGAAGAAAATACACAAATATGCGTTGGTTTTTTCTTCTCAAATCAGGGTGTAAAATAATTTGATATTTCAATTTCTCAAACGATAAAGTGCATCATAAGACTTGCAAATAAAGATTCCTCGTAGTTCTGTATTAATTTCAGGTGATCACAAAATAAGCAAAGGATACGTCAATAGGCTAGAGAGGAACAGCAATTACTAAAATCTTTGTAAATCCAAAACAACTGATGAGACAACTTGACATTGTGGGTTGAATATGAGTCTATGACACAGAAAATATAACTATAAATTTGAATCACATAAAGATTATTTGATAATTGGTATGAATAAATAAAATCTTGTTTTATTACCTTGGCCGAATACAAAATCATATCTTCCTTGCTCAGTTTGAGAGAGTGACTACTTCCATACGATGCAAGATTTAGGGCAGCACGTGGTTCTGCCTGACACAGTAGCATGCACAATGATACTGCTAAATCGATGTGACTAAAGTATTAAATCCATTAAACCACCAATTCCTATAGGCATGTAGGCAAACTTACTTGTGAGCCAGTTGTGACAATCAATAAATCTTTTGGTGCATAGGCTTCAATGTCCTCCACTTTTACCTTATCAGTTGTAGGATGAGAATTGTTAAAATTAGATGAATACGCACACTTAAAACCTATAAAATATGTGGAATAGTTAAGAATAACAGCTGAAAGCATGATTCTACATGCATGCCCATACATAATTTCATGTTCTCCTAGGAATTCAAAACCAGCGTTGCAACTAAGAGTCCAGTAAAATTCATGAAAAATATTCCATAGTAAGCATTAGCAATAAGCCAACAATAATAGTAATGTGCACCACTTCCGAACATTAAGAAGAAGCATGGCCATTATGAATAATAGCTGTTCGCTTATACTCAGCAGTAATTCTTTAATCACAGATTCATAAAACATCACAAGTTGTAATAGCACAGTTATACTCCTTAAAGACCATCTAATGGCAATGAGGATTATGTTTGAAGCCCCTAATGTTAAATAAGAAACTGGCTTTCATTCAGATAAACCAGTCCAAGGCAGTGGAGCATACCAAGGCAAAACAAAAACATGGATTACAGAAAGACACGTCAATGTCTAAATCTTTAACAAGTGAAAGATAAAAGAAGCTAAAATTGAGATCTGTCGAGGTATTACGCACATGAAGGCTTTAAACTTCAAAGGTTTACTTATTTCTCTTTAACCATATTTCCCACATAATGGCAAATTCTCCTGTGACCTGTAGAACTTCACATTTTTATTTAAAAGGAACATCTTCAGAATATCTTCTAAAGCCGCCACTCCCTTGAATAGACTCGATCAATAAATGCATAAACATCAATGGTCTTTATGTCACAACATCACGTGAGAAAAAACACATTCCCATGGATCAATATGCAAGACTCTTTCTAAGAGAAAAAAAAAAGACTTCCAATTATCAAATAAATATACAAAGGTACAAACTGTTGCGATCCCACCTTCTTAGATCATGTCACACCATGTTTTATTTTGTTGGGCATATTTGAGTTTTATTTTGTTGGGCATATTTGAGTTGGTTCTCAATTGGCATATCTCTTCTCTTTTTCTGAAATTTAACTTCAGATCAAATGTGCATAAAGGATTTTTCTTAGTTGTCAAATCTCTTCCTTCTTCTGTCACTCTCTTTTGCTTGGAGTTCAACGTTCTTGGCTTTTATTTTGATGTTTTGATTGGATAATTATTTTAGGCTCTTTGTTGAAGAGGATGTAGTACTATTTGGATTGTTATTTACATCATTCTTAGTGGTTTCTTTTCATCCCTCTACGAAGTTTTGTATCTTTAGAGCCTTAGTCTCTTTTCATTATTTCATTGAAAAAAAATTGTTTCTATTTCAAAAAAGTTAAAAGGGTTTTTTCTAAGATTTCATTTCTGTCGATAGTCAAATATCAATAAGGTCACTTGTCAAGGAAAAACTAAATGTCAAATTGAATTTTGAAATAGAAAACATATCAGGGTGAAAATAAAATTTATAAATGATTACCAAGGTCGATGGGTCAATTGGTGCCTTTCCATCCTTCCAGGCTGCCTCCAGATATGTCCTTAAAGACATCCCAACAAATACCTAATAATCATACAAATTTGCAAAAGAAGACATAAATGCCACCGTGAGAAGCAATTTACTTTTATGTATGGAAAATCATAAGAGAATAAAGGAATCTAACTATGAAAAACTCACCAACTTTCTACCAGTTAAATCAGCGGCTGCTTTCACACTTCCAAGGCGGTGTATATTTGAAGCAAATTGAGTCGTGATGACCCTTCCTTTAGCTGCAGAGATACGTCTTAAAAGAGCATCTGCCACCACAGACTCACTAATCGTCCTTCCAGGAGATAGTACATTTGTTGAGTCACTCATCATCTGAAAAGTAATTCACATATATTTACAAAGTTTCATATTTCGACCATGTTCGTTGCATGCCAGTAACAAGTTAATTCTGCTAATAACAAACCAAACTTTCAAAAAAGAAAAGGCCCATTTCTCCTAGGCATAAATTAGATGGCTTTGAAACTAGCTGAAGTCACAAAAATATGCATGAATCAAAAGTTTCGGTAAACATTTTGTGGCCAGAGGTTTAGATTTTATATATACTGGACGGGGACAAGAATTGGCTTACAAGAGTAACTCCTTCTTTTGATAATTCTTCCAAAGTTTCTCGATCAAAGACTTTACCATCCAATGGGGACTCATCAATCTGCAAGATATCACGTCCTCAAGTAGTCGTAAAAGAAACAAACAACAATGAGATACTGCATCAAACAGTCTTACCTTCCAGTCTCCAGTATGAAGAATTGTACCATCAGCACATCGAAGAACCAATCCACAACAATCAGGAATGGAATGGGTAACCCTAATTGGCTCTATTTCAAATGGCCCAGCTGTGAATCTCTTTCTCATCTTAAACACCTTAAGTCTAGAAGGAACAAAAATCCCATTTTCCTTCAGACGCTTTTTTATTAGCTGCCAAGGAAGAACAGTCATGCCACAAATGACAAGCAAGCACCACGTTGATGAAAAAACTAGAGATAAAACAGGATTGAACTCTTGATCTTTACATTTTAGTTTAAAATCATTACTATTGACAATGTCCCATCTCCTAGTAGGAGTGTAATAATTTAAAAACTAAATATGCAGCGTGAGGTCAATAATTTCAATTGACAAGTAATATCAAAATTCAACAGGATGATTGACTGACAAAGGTACATAAGAAGAGTTGCATTTGATGTTAAAAACGCAAATACTTAGAATGATAGAAAATTTCAATATGCTGAAGTAGTGATATACCTCCACTGTAAAGGATGAAGCGTAAATTGGTGTATGGGAATCCAAAGCTGGAATTACCTGATCAGACAGGACTGATGCATGTGAAAAACAAAAAATATATAATAACATAGAGAAAGTTAAGATCAAAAAACTATCTCACAAAGAGCATGTAGATGTAAAGTTAAAAGTTAAATTTTACAATTTTTGGGGTAATGGTCCCTATCGTCCATTTATTTCATTTTAGTTCTTCACTTCCATAAATGCATGAATTTAGTCCCTGATATAGCTCTACAGGAAAATAAAAGTGGTGAAATACAAGGGACAGAATTACAATTTAACCAAAATTCCGGTATAAAGACATTCTGAGTGGCTTGAACTTATTCTCTGAGAATTGCAGAAACGTTTATTCGTCTCAATGTACAATAAAGAAGTTAAAACCATAATTCTAGAGGTTTATAGAACACACAAACAATATTACATAAAGAAATAATAGCTTATGGCTAATGTATACCAGTATCTAAGACAAATTGTTTTGTCATGCGTGTATGCATGGAAATTATTTCCTTTTGATGTTAATTATAAACATTGCCAGTATTAATTACAATAGATAGTATCCAAAGAGTAGATGAAAGTGGTTACTTTTCTACCACCTCCTCCCAATATCTGGCTTTATCATTGAAAAAACAATTTGTTAAGAAACGGGATCACATTTAATTATTAGCTTTATCCTTGAAAATCCTATAATCTCTCCAACCAAATTTCCATAATAATGTGTTATAAAGATGCCAATCATAAAAACCTGAGAAATTAAGAATATCTGGTATTTAGGGGAAAACATAGTATGTCTTAGGAATTAGAAAGAAACTTTACCCATGGCAACGCACCAATGTGATCTTCATGACCATGTGTAATGACAACAGCTTCAATTTTGTGACTCCATCTTCTGATGAATGTGGTATCGGGTATAATTTTCTGAACACCAAGCTCATCGTGGCTGTACATAGATGACACACATTTAGACACAACATTACAGTGTAAGAAAGCATGCCAAACACTTCCAGTAGGATCAAACAAAAATCAAATGGGTTAAGATGTAAAATTACATTTACTGGAAGATTTAATCCAATCCTTGAGTAGCACAATTTATGGTTGCTAGAGATTCACAAAAAATAGAAACTTACTCAGGAAACATGACACCAGCATCAATCAAAATGTAACGGTCATAATTCCCAACAAGCATACAATTCATCCCAATTTCACCAAGGCCGCCAATTGGAAGAACACGGAGGGGCGGACCATCTGAACCTTCATAAAACTGTTCCATCTTGCGTTTAACAGAATCTTCCATGCTTTTTCTAGCACCTTCTAATCTTCCCGGTCTTTTGCGGTGTACTCTAGAGACATTATTGCCTAAATAAATGCAACATTAAAATGGCATTTCACAATTTCAGAAAGGGAAAAAAAAAAAAAGTACATTGACAATGGAGAAGAGTTCCCAGAAGTGTTAACATTGTTGACTATGACAACCGTCACAAGAGAGAGAGAGAGAGAGAATGGCACTAAAATTGGTACGGTTGTTCAATGTAACCCAGAATATCTGTAACCGCACAAGCTCACAGCTAGCCGATATTATCCTCTTTGGACTTTCCCTTTTGGAGTTCCCCTTGAGTTTTTAAAACGTATTTGCTAGAGAGAGGTTTCCACACCCTTATAAAGAATGTTTCGTTCTCCTCCCCAACCGGTGTGGGATCTCACAATCCATCCCATTCGGGGCCCAACCTCCTTGCTAGCACACTGCCTCGTGTTCACCCTCTTTGGGGCTCAGCCTCCTTGTTGGCACATCGCCCGGTACCTGGCTCTATACCATTTGTAACGGCCCAAGCCCACCGCTAGCAAATATTGTACTCTTTGAAATTTCCCTTTCGGGCTTCCCCTCAAGGCTTTTAAAACATGTCTGCTAGGGAGAGGTTTCCACACACTTATAAAAAATGTTTCGTTCACCTCCCTAACCGATGTGGGATCTCACAACATCAAACAAAATTCTTTTCTCTCTTCACTTTCCTACGTTTCACACTCCAACAAGTCAGCCAAATAAATATCATACGTCTTGATTCAAACTTCCCTTGCATGTTGCAATGTTATCCACATGACTCAAATAACTCAAATGCCAGAAACTCCATTCCAAGTCCAGTAAACCAGTTAGCATGTTTCAAGACGTAGTAAAAATAACCCGGACAACATCGTTAAGCTTAGTTCTAAAACTTGCCAAAATTCCATGAGGTCAATTCTATGAGCGATAATAAGTCTTATCTTCTAACTTCTTTCTGCAACCTTCTCGTGAACAAGAGCTGAGCATAGCAACTAGCAGCAGTATCTGTAATTCAATTTTAAAAAAAATGTACCTAAAACTTTAGGAGTACCACTGTAACAATAAATGGTACGTGGGCGCGGCAGGGGGCTGCAGGGACATAGTGAAAGAGCACCAAAGGCTGCCATCGTGTGCCTGTAAGGACCCAAATGTGGCGACCTGAGAACGGAAGAACCGCCCAAAAACTCCAATTGCATATGCTGGGGAGGTTCCGGAGTGAACTCGAAATGGTAGCTGCAGAGCCTCGGAGCGGGAAATGGAGGGAGATAGCGGGCTAAAGGTTTTTCTTCGACTCTCACGGATATCGGGCTTGTCATTTTCGGATAGAGGACGAGTTCGCACGAGCGAAAAAAAGAAACTTTCGCACGTGCGCCTTGTTACTGTTGCGTAGGTTATAGCTGTCATTGTCAAAAGTCTATAAGCCCAACACATATTATAAAATTAATTTTAGTTTGAGATCATAAACCTAAGAAATTAATTTCTAAGAGTGCTTAGTTTAACCTCTAGTCACATATTAAATAAATAAATGTTGAATTAAAACATAGTTTTAATTTTAAAAATGGTTGCTTATTGTCGGACATAAAAATGTCTAATTTATTCATTTGGTCCCTAAATAAATTAATTTTATTAAATATTTTAAAATTATTTTTTCATATCAGGGGGTGTCTAAAGAAACGAAAATTATTATAGTATAATTTCAAGTAGTTTATGCAATTTCTCCTTTTATTTATCCTCGTTTTATGAATGCTTGAATTCTTTTTAAGTCAGAGATACATAAAATATACATAAAATATATATATTAGTTGTGAATCACTGCTTTCAACTTTAACTATATTGACTAGTTGATGTAATGCTTTTACCTTTAGCATCTAACTCTTTTTTTGGGACATGTTGACCCGTGCAAATATAATATTTGTGTCACCTCGACCCATACAAAATAGGTTCAAAATTTAAACGTTTAGATTAATAACCACGAACATAGAATATTTAAAACAAAGTCCATAATCTTTAAATATTTATGATGGTACCTTCTTATTCTAATAAGATTCTTATTCCACGTCTATTCCAAAAATATATATTTTGAAAATTCGACCCAGAATAATTAATTTATATACGTTAAAAATAATAATGTTACTACCAATGAGATGAAAATGCATTTTTATCTCATTGGTAGTAAAATAATGTTACTACCAGTTAGATAAAAAAATGCATTTTTATCGTTGCGATGCGTACACGTGATATACGTTTTTACCGGGATTTCCTTTTTGCCAAGATTCCTTTGGATTTAACGCGAGTAATTTTTTTTTTTTAATTTTTTTTAATTTTATTTATTTATTTTCAGTTCCCAATTACTTTTTTTATTTTTATTTTTTTATGGATTATAGTGCTCCAACTTGTATTAATTGTCCTTTTTTTTATGGATAATAAATTGTGTCGATTTATGTAAAAATTAATAGAGAATCAAATGATAAATCAATACATCTGTCCTACTTGGTCTACTGATTTAAAATATTTTTTTTTAGTTTTTGAATTTTTTTAAAAAAAAAGAAAAAAAAAAGGGAGTTTTTTCGTCCATAAAAGGCCCTCATGCACCCGGTAACCCTTGAGATTGTAAGTTGCTTGAGCGAGATTCCTGACTCGAGTTTCTCCCAAGCTTGCTTGCTGCTTCACCCCGATCAAGCGATTTTCATTTCTCTGCCATTCTTTTTCGGTATGCAAATGCTTCTGACTTTGCTAATTTTTGCGTTCCATTTTAACAATTTCCCCACGTTGCTTTCGTCTTCAAATTTCATTTTGCTTTCCTTTATTTTCTCTCTACTTGATAATCTTTCGCCGATTCTCCCGCGCTTAATCAAGAGGAATTAGAATCGTTTTTACATTCCTATACGATTCTGTTCTGCTTCACTAACTCGGTTTTGTCGTTTTGATTTGATCGTGGTGCACTTTAATCGTATTTTGAATCGACAGAACCATAAATCGCTGTTTTTCCTTGCAATTCCAGCAATTTAAGACGTTATTAGAGAGATGGGAGAAGCTCACGCTATGTGTAACATCGGTGTGGCGCCCGCTAAATTGAACAAAGTTGTCTTAGCGTATAGCGGTGGCTTGGACACTTCTGTTATCGTACCATGGTTGAGGTGGGTGGCTTTTCTTTTCTTTTTTTCCCTTCACAGTCAAATATTTTGATGGCGGCTATCAAGTTCTTCGACTTCACCTGCATGCATATAGATGTAGTTCATCTTCCCAGTTTTGAAATCGTTAATGGCGGTATTGTGTTATTTTGACATTATTCTCTGTTTCCCTTCAGGGAGAACTATGGGTGTGAGGTGGTTTGCTTCACTGCTGATGTTGGGCAAGTACGTTTTGAGTTATCTGTATCCATGGCTGGATCATTAGTTTGTGTTTTCCGTAGATTTGGGTATTTGATTCCATTTTGTTGGCTTATTACGAATGTGAGATATGCAGGGAGTGATAGAATTGGATGGTTTGGAGGCAAAAGCGAAAGCAAGTGGTGCCTGTCAACTAGTTGTGAAAGACCTGAGGGAGGAATTTGTAGAAGAATACGTGTTTCCTTGCTTGCGCGCTGGTGCCATTTATGAGAGGAAATACTTGCTTGGAACTTCCATGGCCCGCCCTGTCATCGCCAAGGTTAGATCCCACTTGATCTCCTCTGCTGGAAGCACTTTCAGTTGTACGAAAGCCACTAGTTCATAAAATTTATAAGCACTTTTTGATGGGTCGGCCAGTTTTTTTCTTCTAGTGGTCTGCTAAGAAAAGAGATTCCTGCTTTCTTTACATGTATTTGATTTGGTTGGTCTTTTTCGTCTGCTTTGAAGAGTTAATAATGGAGGTTATGGAGATACATTTTGCAGGCCATGGTGGATGTCGCCAGAGAAGTTGGCGCCGATGCTGTTGCTCATGGTTGCACAGGGAAAGGAAATGATCAGGTCTGCCTGATTGCCATAGTTTTTTTCTTTGAATATTCTCAAGGAGAATCTCATATTTTTTATTGGGTGCAGGTACGATTTGAACTCACGTTCTTTGCTCTGCACCCCAAACTTCGCGTTATAGCTCCCTGGAGAGAATGGGACATTACAGGAAGAGAAGATGCCATTGAGTATGCAAAGAAGCACAATGTGCCCGTCCCCGTCACGAAGAAATCGATATACAGTCGGGACCGGAATATTTGGCACCTTAGTCATGAGGTAATGGCAGCCGGTTGGTTTTACTTGTACAAGTATATTATTCCTTACCGTATATATTGAATTTGGTTGTCATTTAGATGCTGAACTGTATTGTATGTTTGTGATCATTTTCTTTTTTGGCTTGAACAAGTGGCGGGCATGAGGTTTGACAGTATGCTGCCAGCCTGACTTGTGGCTTTTTGGCTTTGAGACTCGTCTGTTGTATTCATTTCTATGTGTATTCATGTGATTGAAGGGTGACATTTTGGAAGATCCTGCCAATGAGCCAAAGAAGGACATGTTCATGATGTCCGTAGATCCCGAGGATGCACCGAACGAACCCGAGTAAATTTCCTCTGTTTTTCTTGACTCAATTCCTCTATGCAACTGAATTCTAATGTTTGTGATGGTTGTTTACTGCAGATATGTTGAGATTAATTTTGTCTCAGGACTCCCTGTTGCTGTTAACGGGAAAAAGCTGTCACCAGCTTCCCTTCTCGACGAGCTCAACAAGATCGGTGGGAAACATGGCATTGGCCGAGTCGACATGGTCGAAAATCGTCTGGTTGGCATGAAGAGTCGCGGTGTATACGAAACACCAGGAGGGACCATCCTATTCACAGCTGCACGTGAGCTGGAGTCCTTAACACTCGACCGTGAGACAATTCAAGTCAAGGACTCACTGGCCCTCAAATACGCGGAGCTGGTGTATGCAGGGCGATGGTTCGACCCACTCCGGAAAGCCATGGACGGTTTCATGGAGACGATAACTGCAACAAGCACAGGAACGGTCACACTCAAACTGTACAAAGGCTCTGCGGCCGTGGCCAGGCGCGAGAGCCCGAACAGCCTGTACAGGCAAGACATATCGTCATTTGAAAACGGGGATGTGTACAACCAAGCTGATGCTGCTGGATTCATCCATCTGTACGGGCTCCCAACCAGAGTCCGAGCAATGCTTGAACAAGGAATGTAAGAAACAAAGTGAAAGAGTTGGTTGGTTAATGCTTTGAGTGATGGAGAATAAAAAAGGGGTCTTAGTGTTTTGGTTGGTAGTCAATGTTTATTAGCTCTCTTCTCCCGCCGCCCTGAAAATAAGAAGACGTTTCAACTTTTTTATGGTATTTTCCAGAGCAAAAGTTAGAGGCCACCATTTAGTTACAAGTCCGGACAGAATCATTGCCCACCATCTCTTCCTACCATTGGCTAATAATATTTATTGTGCCAAAGTTGACCATAATTTGAAAAGCTGTAAATAAATAAGTAAATATGAAATGACTACTCTCGCTTTCAGTGTCTTGTGGAGTTTAATTGGTGAGGGAATCCATTATATTTGAAATAAATTTTTAAAAAATGATTTACTTTGTCTAGAAGTGATGCGTTCAGAGACGTTCTACTAATTTCCATTTAATTTTTATAATTTAAATTTATGAATAGTTTGACCATATCTTGTTTAATTAATCCAATTCCATCCCATTTTATCTCTACTTTGAGGGGAATCAAATAAATTTCCATAGTTTATTGTGTGGAAGGGATGCAACTTGGAACATAGAATGTATTTCCACACAATCATATGCATATCCTACTCATAATATCATATTAATATCAAATATGGAATTTGCATACTTTTTTTAAAACAAAATTAAAAAAAAAAAAAAAAAAAAAAAAAAAAAAAAAAAAAAAAAAAAAAAAAAAAAAAAAAAAAAAAAA